GTAGGATGGTCATTTTCACAGTATTAATTCTTCCAATCCATAAGCATGGGATTTCCTTCCATCTTCTGATGTCTTCAATCTCTTTCTTTAAAGATTTAAATTTTTCATTGTAGAGCTCTTTAATGTCTTTGGTCAGGTTTATTACTAGATTTTTTTTTTTTTTTTGGCAGCTATTGTGAAGGGGAGTGTTTCCATGTGCTCTTTCTCTGATTGCTTGTTATTGGTATATAGAAAGGCTACAGACTTTCATAGGTTAATTTTGTAACCTGCCACTTTACTGAACGTGTTAATAATTTCTAGGAGTTGTCTGGTGGAATTTTTGGCATCTCTTAAATATCATATCATGTGCAAAAAGGGACAGTTTGATCTCTTCTTTTCCAATTATTATGCGTTTAATTTCCTTCTCTTGTCTTACTGCTCTTGCTAGAGTTTCAAGCACTATGTTAAAGAAGTGTGGAAATAGTGGACAGCCTTGTCTGGTTTCTGATTTCAATGGGAATGCTTCCAGTTTTTCTCCATTTAGAATGATGTTGGCTGTGGGTTTGATGAATATGGCTTTAATTATGTTGAGGTATGTTCCCTCCAGTCCAATTCTCTCTAGGACTTTGAGCATACATAAATGCATGCTGAATTTTGTCAAAAACCTTCGCTGTGTCTGTTGAGATGACCATGTCATTCTTGTCTTTGAGCACATTTATATGATTTATGATGTTTATTGACTTACATATATTGAACCATCCCTGCATCTCTGGAATAAAGCTGTCTTAATCAGGGTGGCTGATCTTTTTGATGTGTGTCTGTTTGCAAATATTTTATTAAGAATTTTTGCATCTACGTTCACTAAGGATATGGGGTCTATAGTTTTCTTTTTTGGTTGTATCTTTGCCTGGCTTTGGTATTACAGTGATGCTGGCTTCACAGAAGGAATTTTGAAGTTCTCCCTCCATTTCTATCTTTTTGAATAAATTAAGTAGTATTAGATGCAGATCTTCTTTAAATGTCTGACAGAATTCTGCTGTAAATCCATCTGGTCCTCGGCTTTTAGTCAGGAGGTTTTGTATTACTGTTTCAATTTCTTTTTGTATTATGGGTCTGTTTAAGAACTGTTCATCTCTTCTTGGCTTAGTTTTGATGCTTCCCATGCTTTTAGATACCTGTCCATTTCTTTTAAGTTTTCAAATTTAGTAGAATATAGGTTTTTAAAATATTCCCTTATAACATTCTGGATCCTTTTGGTGTCTGTTGTGATGTTTCCCCTTTCATCTCTGATTTTCTTGATTTGGAGGTGCTCTTTGTTTCTTTTGGTTAACCGGGCTAGTGGTCTGTCAATCT